CACCGTGAAGGGGCTGTGGCCAGCCTGCAAACAGCCATCAGCCTCTCACCCAAGCTGGCCAGGCACCCCAGCGGGACCCCCACCCTGATCCAGGACACCCTTCAGGGCAAACCAGCCAGCCCCCACCCGTGCACCAGGCCTCTATCCTATATAATAAAAGGGTAATATGCAAATTGACCCTAACAGCAGAACGACTGGGAATGACTGGTCACTATGATACACACTGACCACCAGGGGGCAGACGCTTAATGCAGGAGCTGCCCCCTGGTGGTCAGTGTGCTCCCACAGTGGGAGCTCTGCTCAGCCACAAGCCAGGCTGGCCGCTGCCAGCACAGCAGTGATGGCAGGAGCCTCTCCCACCTCCTCAGCAGCGCTAAGGATGTCCACCTGCAGCTTAGGCCTGGTCCCGGCTGGCAAGTGGACATCCCCCAAGGTTCCCAGACTGTGAGAGGGCACAGGCTGGGCTGAGGGACCCCCCCCCCCCGAGTGCACAAATTTTTGTGCATCGGGCCTCAAGTTGATAGTATAATAGTTGATAAAAACATATTTTGTATGTTATATTTATATTATGTACTGTATTCTTACAGTGAAGTAAGCTAGAGAAAAGAAAATGTTATTAGAAAAATCATTTCATAAGGAGAAATACATTTAAAGTATTTATTGGATAAAATCCATGTATTTATTGGATGAAATCCATGTTTGACCCATACAGTTCAAACACATGTTATTCAAGGGTCTACTGTTATTTATTTTGTGTATTATTCTTCACCTCTTCCTCTCTCCCATCCCAGATTTTAATTTCCTGAGGACAAGGATATTTTTTTTTTTACTTTAAACAGATTATTGAGCTGTAAATTCCACATCATATAATTCACCAATGTAATAGCACTATTCAATAGCTTTTTATAAATTTATATATTTGTTAAACACCAGGGAGACAAACCGAAAAAAACTCTGGCTTTAAAAACAAACAGGGCTCATGTTCATGAGACCCAAAAAAACTGTAGCAAACTGACAAATGGTTCTTAAATGGTTCCTGTGATGACTAACTTTGCCATCACAGAAGCAGCCATTTGAAAAGATCCCAGATTTTATGTGAAACAGATTAATTTTCTAATCTGAAAGTGTCAGCTGGAGGAGCAAGAGCCTGCTGGAATACTCTCTGGGGAAAAAAAAAACTGGTGGGAATTATTTATGCACTATCCCTTTGCCATGCCACAGAGAGCTAGTATCTCCCATACAGAAGCTTTTACATGCATCTGCTTTTTATGTCTGGCGCCCTGATTTTTGCAGCTGTTACCCAAGATATGCCCCTTAATCACATGGTTCTGGAGGCCAATGAGGCTATCATTCCTGGGTCCCTTGAAAAAATAACTAGAGTGGTAGTTATTGGCAGACTACAGCCCCCAGGGCACTGCACAGACAGCAAACTGAAACACAACTATAGTCTTTCTGTGAAAGATTCCTACTTGTTTGTCCTGGAGCTTTGCCCTTAGGGGCAGGCTTCTGGCTTGGCACATTTCTAGAGGCTCACAAATGTACTCTCAGGTAACATAGCCTTCTGAAAACCATGTTTGCATTATCCCTCTGCTTCTCTACAGTTTATTGGTATTTTTCAGGAAGAGCTTATATACATATCTGGAGCTCCTGTTTTGGCAACTGTCTCCCGAGGACACCTCCACATCATTGGGTTCTGGTGGCAGGCAGAGCATACGCTTGCAATCCCACAGATCTGTATATATTTGCATACTTTAAAAGCTGCAATCAGAGGTTCTGGCATTCAATTAACATGGATCTAGGTGCTGAATGAGATATTTCCCTTTGGGACACTGATAGGTCTTGGTACATTGTCAACTACTGTCAGCTATTAAAATAGATTAGGTTGCTTAGATAATCACAAATGTTTGCAAGACAACCTAGAGCTAGGGCAAGATTAAAAGATATGGTTCATCTCCTACATAAATCCACTTCTTCAAAACTGGGAGAGGTAGGTATTTCATCTAATATGTTGAAATCAACAAAAAGAGTCAAATAAAGAAATAAAAACTATGTTCTAAACAAAGTACAAACCTCAGAAAAAAATCTTAAGCAGATATAGGAAATTTAACTGATAAAGAGTTCAAAGTATTCCTCATAAAGAGGCTCACCAAACTTGGGAGGAGAATAATCACAGTGAGAATATTAAAAAGAGATAGAAAATATAAGAAAGTACCAAATATAAGTTATAGAGGTGAAGAAGACAATAATTGAGCCTTAGCCAGTGTGGCTCACTTGGTTTGAGTATAAGTCCATACATTGAAAGGTCATAGATTCAATTCCTGATCAGCGCACATACTCAGGTTGTGGCTTTGATTCCTGGTTAGTGTGCAACTGAATTATGTTTCTCTCATATCTCTCTCTTTCTCTCTCCCTCCATCTCCCTCTCTCTAAAAATCAGTGAACATGTCCTCAGGTGAGGATTTAAAAAAAAGAATATAATAACTGGACTGAAAAGTATACTATAAGTGTTCAATAGCAGACTAGATGAACCAGAAGAAAGTATAAGTAAACTCTAAGACAGAGCTGTGGAACTCAACAAATAAGAACAGAAAAAGAAAAAAAAAGAATGAAAAAAGTTAAAATAATTTACAGGACTTATGGCACAACATAAAAGATATTAATATTCATATAATAAAGATCCCACAAGGAGAATAGAGAGATAAAAGCACAAAAACTTATATGAAGAAATAATGGCTGAAGGGATTCCAGGATGGCTGCAGAGTAATTGGAAGCTACACTCACATGCTACCAGCCCAAAACTGGATTTAGAGCTAAATTATACAGCAAGCAACCTGAATACCCAACTGAAGGCTAGCTGACATGAAATGTTATAACCAAGGATTTTGAAAAGAAGCCACATAGAGACTTGGAAGAAGGGCAGCAACACTTAAAGGGCTAGCCCGTGCATCCAAGTGTGGCAGTAGAAGCTGAGAAGCCAGAGGGATATCGTGGCTGCAAAACCAACTTCCCCCAGGAACATGGGGCCTCAACTCCACACAAGGATTCCCAACCCAGAGCAACAGAAATGGGAAGAGGAGCCTGCATAGGATTTGGTGGTAAAAATCAGTGGAGATTCAGTATGCCTGGGAGACCAAGATGTAATCTTCCCAGGGATGAACAATCCTATTGTTACAACACCAGCCTGTGTAGTGCACTACCTGGTTTTTTACTACTAGTGAGGCCACTCTGCCATAATTGTGTCCTGTGGAGTGGTCTACTAGTTGAGCTCAGCAATGACTTTGGGAGCTTCTTTTCATGGGGATTTGTCAGAGACTCAAACAGTGACTAAACTGTGTATATTTGATAAAAAAGGCTGGTCTCCCTGACCTGGATCATACAGCCATTGCCCCTACCCCCACCTACTTACTTCAGTGGCATAGGGGCACTACAGTGTGAAGCAGAGCTGGGACTTTTGGAGCCTGTCTCCCATGGAAACTTTTGTCCAGGAACAAGACGAGAAGGTTGGGTAGTGTGGGATCCCACAATGGTTATAAGGATGCTCAAGGACCTTAGGGAAAAAAATGGGTGATCTCAGTGTGAACTTAAACGAAGAGAAAGTAAGCATTAAAAATTACACTGAAACCATAAAAAAGAACCAGTCAAAAATGCAGAATACAGTATATAAAACAAAGAATATACTAAAAGGAATCAACAGCAGGTTAGAAAAAGCAGATGACTGAGTCAATGATTTAGAGGACAAGATAACAGTAAGCACCCAAGCAGAGCATCAAAAAGAAAAGAGCATTTTAAAAAAAAATGAGGAAAATTGTAAAGGTCTCTAGGATATCAAGTATAATAAAATTCACATCATAGGAGTACCATAATAATAAGAGAGTGAGCAAGGGATAGAGAACCTATTTGAGGAAATAAGGGCTAAAAACTTCCCTAACCCAGTGAAGAAAAAAAATGACATAAGCTCAGGAAGCACAGAGAATCCCAATCAAGATGAACCCAAAGAGACTGACACCAAGACACATCATAATTTAAATGGCAAAGGTTAAAGACAAAGAGAGAATCTTAAGAGTAGTAAGAACAGTTAACTACAAGTGAGTTCCCGTAAGGCTGTCAGCTGGTTTCTCAACAGAAACACTTCTGGCCAAAAGGAAATGGCATGAAATATTCATAGTCATGAAAAGCAAGGATCTAAAACTAAGACTACTCTATCCACCAAGGTTATCACTTAAAATTAAAGGCAAAATAAAGAGTTTCCCAGCTGAGAAAAGGCTAATGGAGTTCATTACCACCAAACCAGTATTGCAAGAGATGCTAAAGGGCCTGCTTTAAAAGAAGAAATATATAGAGAGATGAACATAGTTATAAAGAATAAAATGGCAATAAATAAGTACCTATCAACAATAACCTTAAATGTAAACAGATTAAATGTTCCATTAAAAAGACTGAGGGTAGCAGAATGGATAAGAAAACATGACCCATATATATATAGTGTGTCCCACAAAACAGCTGATATCTCACTTAGTTTTTACTCTATTTCAGGTTTAATTGATCTGAAATAATGGGTTAAGACAGAATAAGCTTTGAACAAAGAAAATGTATCAACTAAACTTATTTATGGGGATACATAAAAGATAAATTTTATGGTACAAAACCAGCAGCAGTTGATGAATGGAGGGCTCACAAATACCAAACAAAATGATTCTTGATGTTTGCAATTCCATTGCTTCCCTTTACCTGCAGTGCCTGGGGTATACTGTATAAGAGATCCACCTCAGAACAAAAATACATACTAGTACAGACTGAAAGTGAAGGGAATATCTTGAATTTTAAAATTTCTGAGTTCTTGTAACATTTAAATTTTTCCTCATGTACAGTGATAAGATGATTGAAAGAAGAGTTGAAAATGGGTCACCTCTGAATTTTCCTTTGGATGTTAAAAGTTTTTTTCTGTCTCCCAGCAATAACCAGAAGCCAGCTTCTCATTTCTTTTTCTCTGTCATTCTCAGGTAAGCCGCTGAATATCCCTTGCAAAGCATTCTTTGGATTTAGTGGAGAGTCTGGACCAATGATCTACTGGATGAAAGGGGAGAAGTTTATTGAAGAACTGGCAGGTCACATTAGAGAAGGTGAAATAAGGTACAGAACGTGAATTGCTATTTTTTTCTTTTCTGTCTTTGCAGTAGAGAAATGGAACATCCTAAAAGAGTTTCTGCCAGGGATTTTAATTGAAATTCCAAATCATTTCATTTTCTAAAGGCTGATCTGATGGAGAGAGTGAGGTTGGCTGCCTTAAGAAATGAAAATGTGTCAACCTCCAATATATGTAGGTTTTCTCAGGTTCTAAGAATATGACATGGGATGTAATGACCCCCTAAAAGCTGCCTAAGCAAATTCATCTGAGTTTCCAAAGCTTAGGTTACTGTTACAACTTCTAGTCATACCAAAGATCCAAACTTTGTAGGTGACTCCTCAGATCACTAAGCAAATGTGATCAAACAACTTTCATATGTCGTAAGTGTAAAGCTACAGTGGCAGTAGTAATCTAGTACCCATCAAAATAACTGTGGACTCTTGTTAAATAGTATTTATTTTTTCCACTACCAACTGCTCATATAGAAAGTGACTGGTCTTTCAGATTCGTGCCTCCCTGGACTTTTTTTCACTCTCCTGTTATAGAGATATGTCCCTGGTATAAACACATCTATTTTATTGGTTTGCTAATCCTATATAGTATGATTCTTTTGTACAAATAAGGGATAAGTAATTTTCACTACCTCAGTCTGTGGGGTGGCCCTTTGATTTCAGAGATGGTGACATATAATGAACATTTCTCATTCCAATAACAATTGAGACCCTTCCCCTTCCACTCCCATTGAGTCATGTAGTGGGAACCAATCTAATACTTCAGTACAACCAATGTCCAACACATTTTATCAAATATATGGCAATGTAAAAGGAACAAGTATACTTTATCTTATTTACTATTGTTAAATATAATTTATAATAACTACCATGATAGTTTCTATTCATATTTTTACCCAATAATTCCACTCTAAGGGTTCATAACATTGAGAGCCTATGTAAAATACTGACTGTGTTAGCATGTTTCTAGGAAGAAGGTCCATAAAAAGGTGCCTAATAAAATTAGTCATCAGGGAAATGCAAATCAAACCCTTTGATAACACTTCATACTCACCAGGATTATAACAAGTGTTAGAAAGACTTTGGAGAAATTGATACCCTCATATACTACTGGTAGGAGAGCAAACTGGTGCAGCCACTCTGGATAACAACCTGGCCCTGGCCAGTGTAGCTCAATTGGTTGAAGTGTCATCCCATGCACAAAAAGGTGGCAGGTTCAATTCCTGGTTAGTGCACATACCCAGGTTGTGGGTTTGATCCCTGGTTGCAATCTGGCAGTTCCTCAAATGATTAAACATAGAGTTATTAAGAATTTCCCTCCTAGATATGTTAATCAAATAAATCAAAACATACATTCCCACAAAAACTTATACACAAATGTTCATAGGATCATTATTCATAATAGATAAAATGTGGAAGTAACCAAAATATTCATCAACTGATGAATGAATAAATAAAATGTGGTGTATTTATACAATAGAATATTATTGAGCTGTAAAAGAATGAATGAAGTACTAATACAAACTATGACATGGATGAACCTTGAAAACATTGTCATTGAAAAGAGCCAGTAACAAAAGATCACATATTATATGAAATGTCCAAAACAGGCAAATATATATATGCTAGAGGACCGGTGAATGAAAATTGTGCACAGTTAGGGCCCCTAGGCCTGGCCAGCAACCAGGGCCAATCAGGTTCCCTGCCTCCCCACCTTCACACCTCCTCCTTCCCTTGCTCCCTCAGCACCCCACCACCACCACTGGTCGCCCACAATGTTCTGCATTGCCCTCTGGTGCTCAGTGCATGCCATAGCTAGCAATTGAACTCCCAGTCTCCCTGTCAAACTCCCGAGGGGGCACATTGCATAGTAGCCTTTTATATATACAGACTAGAGGCCTGGTGCATGAAATTCATGCACAGGAGGGGGGAGGTCCCTCAGCCTGGCCTGCACCCTCTCATAATCCAGGACTCCTTGGGGGATGTCTGACTGCTGGTTTAGGCCTGATCTCACAGTGGGTTTGGGCCTAAACCGGCAGTTGGACATCCCTCTCGCAATCCGGGACCACTGGCTCCTAACCGCTCACCTGCCTGCCTCATCGCCCCAACCACTCGTCTGCCTGTCTGATCAGCCCTAAACACTCTGCCTGCCTGCCTCATTGCCCCTAACCACTCTGCATGCCTGCCTGCCTGGTTGCCCCAATCACCTCTGCCTCGGCCCCTGCTGCTGCGGCTTCATCCGGAAAGATGTCTGGAATGACGTCCAGAAGGTCCTTTGGCTGTCCAGTCTAATTAGCATATTATGCTTTTATTATTATAGTTAGAAATTATATCAATGGTTTCTTGGTGCTAATGGAATGGAGGGAAAAGGGTAGAAACTTAAAGTGTATATTTTTATTTTTGGTATAGTGGACACAATATAGCATAACAAGCACTATTTAAAAGTCTACAGTTCAGTGACATTTAATATATTCACAATGTTGTGCAACCACCACTACTATTTCCAGATAATTTTCATCACCCCAAAAGGAAGCCCTGTACCCATTACATAGTCTGGGGCTTCTTTTTGCAGTAGTGAAAATGTTACAAAATTGACTGTGGTGATGGTTGCACATATCTGTGAATATACTAAAAAGCAGAGATTTATACATTTTAAATGGGTGAATTGAATGATATGTAAATTTTATTTCAATAAAGCTATGTGAAAAATCTAATTTATTGCCTGGCATGAAAGAGATGTTCAGATAAAAAGAATCAATATAACACTTACAATTAGTTATTAACTATTAATTTCCGTTTAAACTTTGTTTCCTAATTAGTGACACTTTATTAGTCATTTTCATATTAAGGTTTACGAAGTTAATGCAACTGGAATTAATTTATTTTTTATTAAATTTATTGGGGTGACATTGGTTAATAGGATAATATAGGTTTTAAGTGTACATTTCTATGATATACAATCTGTATATTGCACTGTGTGCTCACCACTAAAAGTCAAATCATCTACTATCACCATATATTTGACCCCCTTTACCCTTTGCTACCTCCAATCCCCTTCCTTCTAGTAAACACCATACTTTTGTCTGTGTCTATGAATTTCAGTTTTATATCCCACATATGAATGAAATCATATGGTTTTTAGCTTTTTCTGACTGACTTATTTTGCTTAGAATGATATTTTCAAGGTCCATCCATGTTGTCACAAATATCATGATTTCATCTTATGGCTGAGTAGTATTCCATAGCATATATGTACCATATCTTCTTTATCCAATTCTCTATCAAAGGATATTTTGATTGTCTCCATTTTTAGTAGATACATGGTTAGAATTATTATCAATGTATCTGCCTGTAAACAAATTTAAGGGCCATCTTCACTTTTCAGAGAATTAAACTGATACCCAAAGGACAAGTGGTAGGTACAATGGTACCTAGTAGCAAAATTTCCACTACCAAAAAGCTCAGAGCTATGTTTCCTGATCAAAGGTAGTAGTTATATGAGCCTAAGAAATTATCTCCTTTTTCCTGTACATGACTGACTAAATTTGTTTAAATAAACAGCTTTTGGGGGGTATAATGATATACATTAAACAGCACACAATTTAAAGTGTACAGTCTGTAATTGCTAATTGATATCTGTATACACCTGTGAAACTATCACAATATTCAAGATAATGAACATATCAGTCACACAAGTTTCCTGATGCCTTTTTGTAATCCTTCCCTCCTGCCCTTCTTCCACAATAATACTGATTTTTCTGTCACTATAAATCAATTTGCACTTTCTAGAGATTTATATAAATGAAATTATACAGGTTATATGCCTTTTTTGTTTGCACTATTTAACTTAACACAATTATTTTAAGATTCATTTATCCTTGTAGTATATGTATCAATAGTCATTCTTTTTTGTTGCTGAGTAGTATTTCAATATATGGATATAGACAGCTTGATTATCCATTCACTTGTTAATGGACATTTGGGTTGTTTCCAGTTTGGGGGCTATTATACTTGTGAGAAGAAGGTTTCCTTTGATGTGAATCACAAGAAATAATTTATCTGCTGAAATGGACACCCCATGGTCAACTAAGGACTCCAATGTTATCCTATATAATAAAAGGGTAATATGCAAATTGACCCTAACAGCAGAACGACTGGGAATGACTGGTCACTATGACACACACTGACCACCAGGGGGCAGACGCTCAATGCAGGAGCTGCCCCCTTGTGGTCAGTGCGCTCCCACAGGGGGAGCTCTGCTCAGCCACAAGCCAGGCTGATGGCTGCCAGCACAGGGGTGGTGGCGGGAGCCTCTCCCGCCTCCTCAGCAGCACTAAGGATATCTGACTGCAGCTTAGGCCTGGTCCCCGCTGGCAAGTGGACATCCCCCGAGGGCTCCTGGGCTGCCAGAGGGATGTCTGACTGCCAGCTTGGGCCTGATCCCCCCAGGGAGCGGGCCTAAGCCAGCAGGTGGACATCCTCCGAGGGGTCCCAGACTGCAAGAGGGCATAGGCCGGGCTGAGGGACCCCCCCCAAGTGCACAAATTTTTGTGTACTGGGCCTCTAGTAAGTAATAAGAGCCTAGAGGCTATTTGCTGACAAGGGTTTCTCACTTGTTCTGTATACTGGGGAAAACCTCAGATTGAACTCTCAGTTTTCCACACTATGCCTTGCTCACTTAAGCTGTCTGAGTCAACTTTTATTAAGGACTGAGACCTCCCCTGTCCAATTAGAACTGCACCATGTAGATACCTCATTTACATTAAAAGTACCTAATTGAGAATCTGGGTGGGAACAAAAGACAGCCTCCCCTTTGTCTAGGTGGAACACAATTTAAGTTGCTATCTGACTCAGTGTCTCCCTAACTATAGCTCTTTTTGCTCAAATAAGTGCTTACTAGTATTATTCTTTACTAAATTATAAAATTAATTTGGGTTTACAGATAAGCTGCTATGAACATTCATGTATGCTTCTTTGTATGTACATGTATTACC